CTATTAATAAAAACTTATTGAAAAAGAAAAATCTCACAGTATCTGAAACAAATCAGTCTGATAACATGTAAAGGTTCAGTGCATCACTCATCTGCATTGCGGATCATCCAAATAACTGAACATATCGATGATTCAAAACTTCAAAGTTTCAAGGTGCTTGGCTGCCGTCGGACCAGTCAGCCACCTTGTCGCTCAGAAATTCGTCCGCCGTTTCCGGGGTCTCGAATGTTGCCATGATGCCGTCCTTCATTACAATGAATCTTGCCGGGAAAAGAAAACCACACCATATCTTCATGGTTCTACATTTCTCCTTGATGCTGCTGAACACCTGCCGTTTTAGCATCCGGTATCCGTTGTCAGGTCTGAGTAGATTGATACCCGAGTCCCCATGTAGATCAGCGGTTGGTTCTGCCTGGCTAAACGTAAGACGAGCTCCTTGGTCTGATAATGATGAAGCCTGGCAATGATTGCTCTTGGCCTGCCGCTCGTTGCCAGTTTTAAACTGCGGTGCGCCTGATTCACTTGTACCGCCGTTTGAAAATGCTCCTCTCCCAAGAGCTTCGGAAGCAGCGTCTCGACGAATTTGGTAGGTTGTCCTTGCTCCTCTTTTTCTTTTATATCCACTATCTGTATGTTTTGGCGGCGAGATCGAGATTCCAAGTCATCCAGTTTTGCATACATTTGTGCCAACTCTGTAGTCAACTTTGAACACAACTGCTCCAGGGCCTCAATTCGATGCTCATGTGCATTTCACGCCTGTTCTATTCCTTCCACTCACACGACAACTTCGTCCGCTGCATTTTTTTAGTGTTGAAAGTAAAGTTGAAATATCATTTAAACCTCTTGTCCATATTGCCGTTGAGAGTATTAATAGCGGCCATGAGGTCACATCATTACTATCTGGTGGAGCGGCGGAGCTCGTGCTAGCATCTACCCCTTTAGCGCCTTCGTTAGATTTCGTCGTCATTGTTTCTTCCTCCTCTGCGCTTTTATCACCTTTTTAAACTTTGTTTGGTTTTGTCATTACTCAAAGAACTGTGCGCGACTGAACTGCTATTATTTTTTCGCAAATAAAATGATCTAAGTGAGAGAATTAGGGTAGGTCAGATAGAGCTAAAGAAAGTGTGTCTAGTCCATTCCACACTACCGGAAGCCCCCCCCATCTTTGTCCTAATATAACTGCATTTATTCAAACTATAAATATTTTCTAAAAATATAAATCTTCGCTTTTAATTTCTTAAAAAAAATTAAAAAAAACTACTGACCCCAAACTTTTTAACTGTAATGTATATTGTCTCAAAAGATTTCAATTTTAAATAAATGCTGTTATTTTTATTCATCGAAGAATCCTGAAAAAGTATCACATGTATATATGTATGTATACAGTTAGGTGCATATATATTTGGACACAGGTACAATTTTCATACTTTTGGCTCTGTATGCCACCAAAATAAAATTAAAATAAAACAATCATGATGAATTTGAAGTGCAAACTTTCAGCTTTAATTCAAGGGGTTGAACAAAAATATCAAATACAAATTTTCGGAACTGCAACCATTTTTATATACATTCCCCCCATTTTCAGGGGCTCATACGTAATTGGACAAATTAATATAATCATAGATAAAATGTTCATTTTAATATTTAGTTGAGAATCCTTTACTGGCAATGACTGGTGATGTCCATGGGTTCCAGACTTCAGGCAAAGACTGGGTTTCCTTGTTTCTGATGCTTTGCCAGGCTCTAACTCAAGCGGTCTTCAGTTCTTCCTTGTTCGTGGGTCTTTCTGCCTTTAGTTTTACCTTCTGCAAGTGAAATGCACTTGGAATCAACTCCAGACCTTTTACCTGCTTAATTGACGAAGAAATAACGAAGGAATAGGAAGTGCAAACTTTCAGCTTTAATTCAAGGGGTTGAACAAAAATATCAAATACAAATTTTTATATACATTCCCCCCATTTTCAGGGGCTCATACGTAATTGGACAAATTAATATAATCATAGATAAAATTTTCATTTTTAATATTTTGTTGAGAATCCTTTACTGGCAATGACTGGTGATGTCCATGGGTTCCAGACTTCAGGCAAAGACTGGGTTTCCTTGTTTCTGATGCTTTGCCAGGCTCTAACTCAAGCGGTCTTCAGTTGTTCCTTGTTCGTGGGTCTTTCTGCCTTTAGTTTTACCTTCTGCAAGTGAAATGCACTTGGAATCAACTCCAGACCTTTTACCTGCTTAATTGACGAAGAAATAACGAAGGAATAGTCCACACCTGGCCATGAAGCAGCTTTTGATTCAATTGTCCAATTACTTTTGGTCTCTTGACCCCTACTTTTGGGGCTACTCTCAAGAGCTGTAATTCCTAAACCCTTCTTCCAATTTGGATGGAAATACCCTCAAATTAAACCCAAATATGTGCACTTTCAACCCATATCCATTATATAACTATTGCCTGAATATGTTTTGGTAAATACCTGGAAAAAAATGTTTTTCATGTGTCCAAATATATAAGGACCTAACTATATATATATATATATAAGCAGCACAAATGTTATATCCAAAATTGATAATAAATTAGATTGAAACATATTAGAATGATTTCTGAAGGATCATGTGACACTGAAGACTGGAGTAATGATGCTGAAAATTCAGCTTTTATCTCAGAAATAAATTACAGCTTACAAAACAGCTGATTAACATTGTAATAATATTTCACAATATTACTGTATTTTTTATCAAATAAATGCAGGGTTGATGAGCACAAGAGATGTTTTTCAGATGATTAAAAATAGTAATGTTTTTGCCTGGTAGTATAGATAGGTAATATTTCATTGCATGTAAATGTCTTATGACACAAGGATGTTTTCATGCTCTATAATATAAAAGCATCTGATAAAATATGAATGTTTATACTGTAACATGACGAATGTTTAAAAGAAAGATTGTTTACTGCAAAATAGAGTACTGTGTTCAGGAATATCTGCTTAAACATAAATGTTTATAATGTGCTTAACAATAATTTAGTTTCTAAAATATATAATGTTGTATATAAGTACACCTTGTAAATGCCTAGTATATGTTTCACTTATTTCTCCAGCTGAACAAGAACTGTTTTAAGAATTACACAAAGTTATAGCATATATTAGTATAGTATTCTAATATTATTTTCTCAAAAATATAAACTTATACATCCATGATACTTGGATGTAACTGTAGCAGAGTTTGTGCTGGATATAATGTAGTCATATATAAAGCCATGAAAATATTTTAAGTAACTAAAAAATGCACAAATGTCAGGGCATGTCAAAACAACACCAGGGCCCCGAAATCACCTCAGACCCCAGAGGGTTAACTGTGGGCAGGTACCAGAGTGGTCCTTTAAATCCTTGGCCCTTATGTCCATGTTGCAGATTTACTGTGAGCTTTGCTATCATTCAATTTAGAAGGCATTATCCATGGCTTCAGGTCTGAATCACTCTCCCAATCTATTTTATATGTTTATAAAGTTGAAGTGGCAAAATATATACGTATATATATATATATATATATATATATTTTGCCACTTCAACTTTGGCACCTATGTACTTTCCACTGAGTGTTGGCTGCAGTTGCTATCTCTCGTGACTGGCTAAGCACAGGCTCATTGGTCAATGTAACCCCTCTTGGTTCGTGCATTACACTTACAAGCATTAAACATTAAACTTACAAGCTATTGCCATGTTGGTTTCAAGTCTGGCACTGTCAAGTCCAAGTCCAGTGGTCCTGGATTTCATCCCACTGTACAGTGTTTCCGGTAATGGCCACCGCCATCATGTGTGTGTGGGTTGTGTACACTTCCCCTGAGGTGAGGATTCAAGAGTTCAACAGAGCAAATCTTTCAAGTGGTTTCCCCAAATTCAACTGAAAATGCAACTTTTAATGACTTCTGCAGTCTCAAAATTATTCAACCTCTTCATGGCAAGCATCTTTAGCACCTAATAGAGCCTACTTTTGCTGTTATAACCTTCTGCAAATGAGATGCATAGCCAGACACCAGCTTCTGTCAGCGTTCCTGAGAAATCTTAGCCATCTTCTGTAGAAAAGGGATACAGAATCCAGTTAGGGTCTTATACACTGAAGTTCAATGGGATGTTGCCTACAGTAGTAGGCCCTGAGCAGGCTTGGTTGATGGAACAGGAAATTCAGTCTGGCGAAGGAGGCCACATAACCTCATATTCCTCCTCCAAAAAGAAATATCAGGTTCTATAGCCAATACTTCGTAGTTAAAAAAAAAAAAAAGAAAGAAGGATAGAGCGTTGCATTCCATCATAGATCTATGTTAGTTGAACCATTTTCTGAGGAGATTCAGGTTCAAGATGCTGATGATTCCTCTTATTGTGAGTCAAATCAAATCCAAGGGCTGGTTTGTCATGATCAATCTAAAGGATGTTTACTTTCATATTATAGTTGTAACCTGAGACATTTTTTTTTAAACTAAGGCACCTAATAAGGGCAATGATCTGCAAAGGCAGATGTTTTAAATGTCTAAAGATATAAAGTGAATAAACTAGTCTTAATCAAATCACCTTTTTACAGACACCATGAGAAATTATACATAGATTCAATCCTCCTTTTATGTGTCTCATCTTTATAGTATCAGAAGCTCATTTCTCTACAGACATGTCAGAGGCTGATATGTTTTCTAAGTTGAGAGTACTAGTGACTTGTTAACTGTTGTAACAATTTACTGACTCTTAACTGCCATCACAATTGTTTATCAGTGTACTGCTGTTGTCTCCAGACCTACAGTCATTGAAACACTCTTATATTTGTAATACTTTTTATTTGTTACACATTCTGCTGTTCAGCAGAAAACATCAGGAAAACACATTTTGCCCATTGTGAATCAGTGCTGACTTAAGCTGTAAACTGTTACAAATGATTCAGTCCGATTTAGTGAACTGGTTCATCCAAAATAAATGTGTCATGTGGACTGTTGCTGTGTTTGTAGGTTGTCTGGCTGTATGGTGACAGAGGAAGGCTGTCATTATGTGTCTTCAGCTCTGAGTTCAAACCCCTCACACCTGAGAGAGCTGGATCTGAGCTACAATCACCCAGGAGATTCAGGAGTCAAGCTGCTCTCTGAAAAACTGGAGGATCCAAACTGCTCACTGGACAAACTCAAGTATGTTGAGCAGAAGTCACAATGTATGTGTGTGTATGTGTATGTGTGTGTGTATGATGTGGCATATGTGGATCATGAGGACTGAGGCCCCAAACACCTCAATTGCTTCCTCCTCTTCCTCATCATGGATTGCATACAGTATATGCCAAGCATATTGAAATGGTGAACTACGGTCCTGTTTCATATCACAGCTTGGTTCCAACTGGACCTATTCTGAGGGTTGTCCAACTTGACTTTAACCCTTGCACACAAGTGAGAAGTTCTTCAGTAATTGTGGAACTTCAGTAAGTAGGCTGTCAAGGCTATTTTATTCACTTTAAACATCAGATGAAGTTATAATTTTCTCATTAATATGGATGATGCCGAGTCGTTAATAAAATAGTCATGACAAAAATAATAATAACCGATGCATTTTTTTTCATGAGTCTGCTATGTTAGCGATTATGTTGGATAGTAAGCCACACACTACAACTAACATGTTGATAAGCCTGTCTGATATTAGGCTAATATTGTAGATCTACTCTTGTGTTTGGGTTTTGCTCAATTGATGTTAAGTGGCAGATCAGTGGGATTGCTGCAGTTGAATATCTAAGTAAGAGAGGTCCTCTGTCCCAGACGAAACCTAAAATATTATGTGGAGGAGGCAAGATAATTTAATAATTATAATAAGACCGCATGGTGTACCTATGAACCTAACTCGTATTTAAACAACTATCACTTTGTGTTGTTGACCAGATAAAATGACAGAGAAAAGAAAATTGAGAAATTGTATTGTACTTTTTGAAATTTATGCCGATGAACTGGACCGGGAGACATGACAACGGTAGTACCAGTTTACTGTTTCTAGCTTGCTAAAATGAGCAGTGCATCTAAACAGCAGAGCGAGAGCTCAGGGTCATTTATGGTAAAGATTATTCTGCGTTAAATCCTGTAATATTTTTATTTAAAGCCAAACATGCTTCATTCAATGTTTTTCCATTCTGTATGCATTGTTTCTCTCTCCTGCTAAAGATGCTAAAATGCCACATTCAGAGCTGCAGATGATGCAGTTATTTTAACAACAGTAGCAGAAATTATATGAGCAGAAAAATAAATGGATACTTCTACTAAAACACTTTAGAAAACGCTTCAGGTTACGCATGTTACCAGGGTTCCCTGAGCTCTTGGTCTGGCTGCGGTATGGATCAGGGGTAGTCACTCTCCAGACATCAAAGTAATTAGGTGTCTCAGAGGTCTACTTGATGGTAGTAGGGGAATGAAAGGGGAATGAAAATGATTCTTCATGCTCTCTGTACCACTCTTTCACAATTTTAACCCTGATGAATCTTAGTATTATCATCCTGGAATATGGCCATGATACATCTACCTACATGCTTATTTAAGAAATGAAATAAGCAACACACTCCATCTTCTAGAGTAGCTGTTGCTAGACATTTAACATGCTAGAAACAAAATCATCACTGTAATGATCCATTCATAGACTCTTAAAGGGTTAGTTCACCCAAAAATGATAGTTTTATATATATTTGACCCCACAAAGTAGAATAAACAAGTGTGTGTGTGTGTTACTGATTGCATCAGATGTGCAGAATGAGACACTGTGTGTGTTTTATAGTGTGGATCATGGAGGAGAGTTCAGGATTACAGCAGGACTACACAAATGTACGTCTACACACACACACACACACACACACACACACATAACTTTAGGGAATGAGCAGTGCATCTAAACAGCAGAGCGAGAGCTCAGGGTCATTTATGGTAAAGATTATTCTGCGTTAAATCCTGTAATATTTTTATTTAAAGCCAAACATGCTTCATTCAATGTTTTTCCATTCTGTATGCATTGTTTCTCTCTCCTGCTAAAGATGCTAAAATGCCACATTCAGAGCTGCAGATGATGCAGTTATTTTAACAACAGTAGCAGAAATTATATGAGCAGAAAAATAAATGGATACTTCTACTAAAACACTTTAGAAAACGTCTCAGGTTACGCATGTAACCAGGGTCCCTGAGCTCTTGGTCTGGCTGCGGTATGGATCAGGGGTAGTCACTCTCCAGACATCAAAGTAATTAGGTGTCTCAGAGGTCTACTTGATGGTAGTAGGGGAATGAAAGGGGAATGAAAATGATTCTTCATGCTCTCTGTACCACTCTTTCACAATTTTAACCCTGATGAATCTTAGTATTATCATCCTGGAATATGGCCATGATACATCTACCTACATGCTTATTTAAGAAATGAAATAAGCAACACACTCCATCTTCTAGAGTAGCTGTTGCTAGACATTTAACATGCTAGAAACAAAATCATCACTGTAATGATCCATTCATAGACTCTTAAAGGGTTAGTTCACCCAAAAATGATAGTTTTATATATATTTGACCCCACAAAGTAGAATAAACAAGTGTGTGTGTGTGTTACTGATTGCATCAGATGTGCAGAATGAGACACTGTGTGTGTTTTATAGTGTGGATCATGGAGGAGAGTTCAGGATTACAGCAGGACTACACAAATGTACGTCTACACACACACACACACACACACACACACACACACATAACTTTAGGGATTATTGTTATATTATAAATGACTCTCTTCTTTTGTTCAGATGCCTGTAACCTCACACTGGATTCAAACACGGCAAACAATCATATAATTCTGTCTGAAGAGAACAGAAAGGTGACATATGCAGAAGAGAATCAGTCATATCCTGATCATGCAGAGAGATTTGATAGGGCATCTCAGGTTCTGTGTAGAGAGAGTCTGTCTGGACGCTGTTACTGGGAAGCAGAATGGAGTGGAAAAGCTCATATATCAGTGGCATATAAAGGAATCAGCAGGAAACAAGGGAATCGTGACTGTATGTTTGGATTGAATAGAAATTCCTGGAGTCTGATCTGCTCTGATGACAAATTCCTTGCCTCTCACAATAATCATACAATTGACACCTGTGTCTCTTCACGCTCTTGTAGGAGAGTAGGAGTGGATGTGGATGTGTCGGCCGGCACTCTGTCCTTCTACAGCATCTCTGACACACACAAACTCACACACTTACACACATTCAACACCACATTCACTGAGTCTCTCTGTGCTGCATTTAGGTTGATGGTTTATAACTCTTCAGTGTCTCTGTGTCAGACTGAAAAGCCTGTGAGCAGCAACAGAGACATCACACACACACCTGTTTAATAGAAATACTCTCACTTTATATATTGTAGTGCTACCCAGCATGCTTCTTCATGAGCTCTGACCGGGTTTGTGTCCTTTTACTTACAGAGAATATTATTATGTGAAATGGGTTTGGAGTGTGTCCAGAAGATTGAAGGTCCAGAATTATGTGAAATTTCCAACCCGATCTCATGAAAGTGCGTATAAATAGTACGCCAAATAAAAACGAAAACTCGTGGAATTGACACGCAAAAATGGACTTTGGTGTGCATATGATACGCATGTGTTTGGCGTGCATATAATACGGACTTTGGCATGTATATGCTACGCGATGGGTAGGTTTAGGGTTGTGGGGTTAGATGCGTATCATATGTACGCGAAAACTGCGTATCATATGCACGCCAACAAATTTCGTAACATATGAACGCGAAAACTGCGTATTATATGCATGCCAAACACATGCGTATCATATGCACGCCAAAGTCCATTTTTGCGTATCAATACCACAAGTTTTCGTTTTTATTTGGCGTACTATTTATATGCATTTTCATGAGACCGGGCTCGAAATTTCACAACTTTTGTGTATGTGTATTATCGTTGAGTTGTCTCAGAAGTGTAATGCCGCTCGATGGCCATGTTCAGTATCGTTTCTTTCTGTGATTTACACTATGCTTTGTACATGGCCGTAGTGCAGCATTGTCATTACTAACCTGAGCATTAGAGGGCTCTCTGTTCGAAAAATGCATGTGTGCACCAATTTGAGGGAGCAAAGAGGGAGAAACAGTAGGGAGTTAAAGGTGCATTCACGTCACCTCGTAATTCGTGAAATTACAAGATTCGAGCTTGTAAAAAGCGTTCACGTCCTCCTACAGCTCGTTATTACAGCTTGTAGGCTGGGAGTTCTCTGAGAGTTACGGCTTGTACTGCATGACCGCTGAACCTTACGCGGAACCAGAGAAAACGGCGGCGCATCCAGTAGTAAAATGTAGATAAGCAGTTATTTCGTAATTGGTAACACTTTAGAATACTGTTCCGTCATTAATGAATAACTATACAGGAACAAACGGTAACACTTTCTATGAAGCCTGTATTCTTAATGCATTATAATGCATGCATAATGCATTATAAACAACATTATAACATGTTTTATCTAGTAATAAATAATCATAACAGTAGTTATAATACATTATAATACTTAGCTATTTGTGGTTATAACTTTTAAGAAGAGTATGATGCATTATAACACCAGATGAACCCTGAATTTATAATGCATCATAAGGGTATTCTTATAATGCACACTTCCCTTATTAATAAATTGTATCATCTCATGAATAATCATAACAGCAGTAATAATACTTACCTATTTGTAGTTGTAACTATTAAGAATATGATGGTTTATAACACAAAATGAACATAATTTTATCCACTTAAGTTATAATAGTTTAATATTTTAATTTTCCAAGTCTCATATCTTGACATTGTTTACTGAAGATCTGCACATTATAATACTACATCCCATGAGTGGAATTTTACTGCTTATGGTGACAAAAACAAAGTCTTCTTATAAACATATAAATATCATTACTACATTATGAAGCTTTTTAGAAGTGGTCTTTGTCTGCTTTAAGTAAAGTAAGAAAAGTTAGGTATTATAAACGTCCATAAGATACCATGAATGCGTTGAACTTTTTTTATTGCGATTCTTAGAAAATAATGTTACGTAAAATCAACAAAACAATACTGCACATACACTAACATATCTAACACTTCTAAATATCAATTGTTTTTTACATAGTGTTGTTCTACCACACCTACATTTACTTTCACTAATTATTTACATATTTACAGTATTAAAATATACACTACTTACATATGAACAACTTTACTCCACTCTGGAATAATCTCCCAACCCAAATTAAAATGGCTTCCACTTAAATCCACTCTCAAAACTCATTTGTTTGTCTGGGCTTTTAACATGTAATTTTATCCTGTTTTTACTGTCCCTAAGTGGTTAGTGATTTTTTTCTGTGTATTTATATTGTAATTATTGTACAGCACTTTGGTCGGCCGGCGGCTGTTAATAATGCCGAGTTCACACTGCACGATTTTCAAAGACGTCGCATCACTGTTGGTTTCACACTGAACGACTATCTGGGGTAGCATTCAGTTGTTGCTGTGTTCACATTGCACGATGGAACGACGACAGGAGGTTACACACTGCATGACTTTACAATAGGAAGAATCGCCGACAGCTCTGTCTGGTGCAGGGTTGCCAGGTTTTCGCTACAAAACCCGCCCAATTACTACTCAAAACTAGCCTGAAAATAGCCCAATTGCTTTCGAGGGGGTCCCCCAGTAAAAATCGCATTGGGGGGTAAAATACAAATTTTTTTGGCGGGGTTCTCCTGGTACAATTCACATTCCAGGGCCTAAATATCACGTTATTGGGGTCGCTTCAACCTGCTGACATAAAAAACAACTGGCGGCAATCGCGGATTTGACAACACTGGTCCGCAAACTACGTTTCATACAACTCCTCCCCGAACTTCCCGCTGCCCTGTATCTTGGTCTCTCATTGGCTGTAGGTCATCACCGATGTGTTTTTCAGTCAGAACTCATTGCACACAGCGTGATTGTGAATCGCCGACAGCTCCAGATATTTACTCAGATCGCGTCTTTGATAATTCACACTGAGTGATTGTCACTCGCGTGAACGAGCACCGATTTGCCTCCGATGTCGGGCATTTGTCAGCGATTTCGCAAAACCTGTCGGCGAGTGAAAAATCGGGCTAAAATCGTGCAGTGTGAACCCGGCATAAGGGCAAGCTAAATGAAAATGAGTATAGAAAATGACAAGCAATTGCATATATGTAAATAACATGTGATCAGTAATATTTTTTTCAGATCGCGTCTTTTGATAATTCACACTGCGTGATTGTCACTCGCGTGGAACAGCACCGATTTGCCTCCGATTTCGGGCATTTTTATTTAACTATGACTTTAAAATTAAAACTAATAAAAACTATAGTAAAAACTATTTGAAACTATTAAACATTGTATCTTGTTTCACCATTCTAGATATAACAGCCCGTATATACAGTGGGTACGGAAAGTATTCAGACCCCCTTAAATTTTTCACTCTTTGTTATATTGCAGCCATTTGCTAAAATCATTTAAGTTAATTTTTTTTCCTCATTAATGTACACACAGCACCCCATATTGACAGAAAAACACAGAATTGTTGACATCTTTGCAGATTTATTAAAAAAGAAAAACTGAAAAATGCTCAGTATTTAGTAGAAGCACCCATTTGATCTAATACAGCCATGAGTCTTTTTGGGAAAGACGCAACAAGTTTTTCACACCTGGATTTGGGAATCCTCTGCCATTCCTCCTTGCAGATCCTCTCCAGTTCTATCAGGTTGGATGGTAAACGTTGGTGGACAGCCATTTTTAGGTCTCTCCAGAGATGCTCAATTGGGTTTAAGTCAGGGATCTGGCTGGGCCATTCAAGAACAGTCACAGAGTCGTTGTGAAGCCACTCCTTCGTTATTTTAGCTGTGTGCTTAGGGTCATTGTCTTGTTGGAAGGTAAACCTTAGTTCCAGTCTGAGGTCCTGAGCACTCTGGAGAAGGTTTTCGCCCAGGATATCCCTGTACTTGGCCGCATTCATCTTTCCCTCGATTGCAACCAGTCGTCCTGTCCCTGCAGCTGAAAAACACCCCCACAGCATGATGCTGCCACCACCATGCTTCACTGTTGGGACTGTATTGGACAGGTGCCTGGTTTTCTCCACACATACCACTTAGAATTAAGGCCAAAAAGTTCTATCTTGGTCTCATCAGACCAGAGAATCTTATTTCTCACCATCTTGGAGTCCTTCAGGTGTTTTTTTAGCAAACTCCATGCGGGCTTTCATGTGTCTTGAACTGAGGAGAGGCTTCCGTCGGGCCACTCTGCCATAAAGCCCCGACTGGTGGAGGGCTGAGTTACAAATTACTTCATTAAAAAAGTATTCAGCAACGTAATCCAATTACCACAATATAAAAGTAATGTAATCTGATTACTTTTGGATTACTTCAAGTTACATATGTTAAGTCAAAAAAGCAATATTTAAGTACTTTTATTTAACTATGACTTTAAAATTAAAACTAATAAAGTAAAAACTATTTGAAACTATTAAAAATCGTCTCGTTTCACCATCTAGATATTACTGCCCGTATTATTTTTATTATTATTTTTTTATTTCTTTAACATGTACAAGTAAAAATAAATATAGTTTATACACGACATTAAAAAATGTACACCATATACATATTAGTGTATTTTAAAATAAGCCTAACGTTACATTTCGAAATGCATGTGAAATTCTATGATCTTTATTTCATTGACTGATCCGGGGTGTGGGGACTCATGTTAATTTCTACATTTTCAGGCTCATTTTCCGCTAGAAAACTGACAACTGCACTCATGCACACAATGGAATTTTAAATCACTAGCAAACACTTAATTTTAGCTAACGATGATTTCCATGCTAGTCGGACTCGTACCTGCAAATGTTCAAGTTGGTTGAGTAGCTTGTTAAAGCAAGAGTCTTCATGCATAGCTTA